TGTCATCTGGATTTTCTAGTGGCTGGACCAGAATGCGACATGGGTCGAGCCTCCCGCATCCTCCAGGCCAAACCACGTGCACCCGACACGTGCTAGCCTTGTGCCAAACCTTGTCTTGTCCGTGTATGAATGTCATTTATGGTATATCAAACTAGACTAAGAAGTGTTACGAGTAAATTTTTTTATTGTTGTCTTGTCGAGTAATAATCTGTTTGAGCCTCATTTTTCGCTAAGAATACATTTTGGAATAGTAGATTGATGAAGAACGTATGGTTTAAAAATAAGGAAAAATTTTCAGTTTGCGTGTAATTTTATTTTATTGAGTAATGTATGGTTGAAAAGAAGAGATGAAAAAATGTATTTTAGAAATATTGTGAATCAAACAAATGCTAAATATGTATATATACGGTCAGTTTAAAAAGGCTAGTAATTTTACTCACTTATCCAAATTTTAAAAGCTAATTATGGATTAAAAATAAAAAATGATTGTTTACTCCCACGTGCAAAAAAAGTAGTATCCATGAACCCACGAAAGAAGCATTCCCACTTTTCCACCAAAATAGAGAAGGATAATTCCACAGGTGGAAGGTGATGTGTCACCCTGAAATCCGACTATGCTGGACCATGTGGCAGCCACTTGTACTCATAGGCTCTTCTACATCCTCCATATACCACACTGCATTCATCACGTGTACACCCTTTGCAAACCTTTGAATAAAGTTATCCAATACTATTAGTGCTAGTGTTGTGAAACAAATCACTGGATTGAGATGTTGAAATTATATGACAAATCATAATGAAATATATGATCAAGTAAAATAATAATAATAACAGAATATATCAAATGAATTAAGAGATTTTATTGATTCAAAAATAATGAAGAAGAAAGAAAAATTACAATAGTTATAATTCTAGTAATCTATTTTCTCACACCTTAAAATTGTATAAAAGAGCCTAGTATTTATAGGGAACATATAGGGGATGTCCAAACCTTCCTAGTAGAGTTATTGATGAAGTGAGATACCAAAAAATCGAGTCCAAAACAAATTATAACTCCCAATGAGCTTCCAAAATAAAACTTCAACTTGACATAAGACTCCAATAGCATTCCAAATTGAATTCTTCTTGATATGCACTTCAATTAGAATTTTTCAATTATTTCAATAAGGAATTCGAGTCACACCCAAATTCTAACAATCTCCACCTTGACACGAATTCTACCAATGAATGAACTGTCTTCTTCAACAATAAGCAAAAAATTAATTTCTCCAACAAAACACAATACTCCACATCTTCCAATGAATCTAAACACTACTCTACAGAATTACTTCAGATTCCAAAAAATCATAATNATGATTTTAAATTAATCAAAATGGATTGTAACACATCCCAAAGCAGAATCAAATATAAATGCTTTTAAAGAAGGTCCCTTACTAGATTGTATACCTTCTATTCCACTTAAAACATGCTCAACAAAATCAGCATCCCATACCCATTTCTATTGGATCTATTCCTAACAATTGAATACAATGGCATCGCAGGTGATGGTGGCAAAGCGGCATTATCCATATTTCCTGAACTCCACTGAATTGTATTATTCAGATTCGACTCTTAATGAGCTCCTAAAAGTATTGTACCAAACTGAATGTCCACCACAGTCCTGAACTTGTGCTGATTGATTCTTCTAAATTTTGCACGACCTTACAAGATGTATAATTGAGACATTTTCTGTCCCTCCAATACAACTTGGGCACCCTTACAAACCTTCAAAGCTCAACCTCAACCTCCACCAAAGAACTCATAACCTTTTGAATCAAGTATAAACAACAAAATGAGATTTCTCTTCAAATCTGTAACATGTCGAACCGGCCAAGTGTTCTAATTGTCCCATCCAAAAGTTTCAATCTGACTGTGCTAATTCCAGCAACCCGACAAGATTGTTTTCCATAACCACGACACATTTGAAAACAGTTTCATATGTAGCAAACAAGTCCTTATTAGGACACATATGAAACACACATGATGAATCAAGAATTCAATCATCTTTCGGTTTAGATTCAATGTCAGAAATAGCTAAGAGTTTCCCATCACTTACAACATTTTCCAAGAGGTCTGCTTCGCCTGAAGTATCTGAATATCTACTTGTAGCCATCTTTTCTTTATTCTGTAAT